TCTATCTATCTATCTATCTATCTATCTATCTATCTATCTCCCGGAGTAGTGCTTGAAACATTATAAATGCTCAGTCAATATTCTCTACTCTTACCCAGGAAATTTTGCTTCTGCTATCATAATGTCTTACTATATCATTGTATAATATCAACAAATGATGAGTTCTCAATGGCTGGACTATTGGAATTTCTTCATGCTTCCCTATGATCTTCATGATTGCTCTTAATTTCTAGGCATACATTGCTTTCAAACACTCTGTTGCCCAGCACAAAAAGGTGAGAATGCTCACATATTCTATTTAGGCAAAAGAAACATAGACTCAGAGTATCCTTTCAACGATCACGCATGTGTTCACAACTTCAAATCCTCAGTAGGAATATAACTTTCATCCAAAAAACACATAAAGAATTTTAATGAAATCAATCGTTGTAAATACATTTAAGGAGATCTGCAAAACAACTTCAAACTATTTCTATATGCAGTGTTTCTAACATAATGCACTTCACATGCATGCTGAAGAACATTTAACGAGCATAGATGATAAAGCATCATCAAACATTTGCCAAGCTCCTGCATCCATAGCGATGATGGCATCTGGCAAAGCACCATTGTCAGAAATCTCTAAAGCTTTAGCTGGTTTTTATTCTAAGACTAATGTATTTTTAAATCAAGCCACAGGGAAATAATTACTTTTGTTTCTATTCAATCAAGACCTGCACACAGAGTTTATGGAATGACATAATATCCTTCCTGAAATCAGACTGGTATGTAGGACCAGTATCCTTCACACATAACCAGTTCCTGAACCTTTACAAACAAATCCTAATTTCCAAGGAAACAATCTCATCAACTGCTACTCGCTAGAATACATATTGTTCCTTTTGGAAACATTACAATAAGATTTTCACGATTACAAACCCCAACTTCCCTTCTAAAATTCAATAAAATCTTAAACTCATTTATTTAAGTGGAAATTGTGTTTGTATAATGGCTCTAGAAATTCCTGGTAAATTTCATATCACCAATATAATAATTTAGTTATTGGGTTTCTTGTTTTGTGTTTTTGTTTTTGTTTAGCCCAGGAGGGGCGTGGTCATAAACTTCATAAACTTATTGTGATGATGTGGGTGTATGTGTGTGTCTTTTAAATGAGCACCAGTTAGGAGTCTCTTAGGAATGTTCATTTTTGAGCTTCTACAGACCAACCCTAAGATGAGAAGCATGTTTTAACTATTTTTGGAGAATGAGGAGTTTTAGTGATGTCCAGGCTGTTGACCTATTTTTTAATTTTTATTCATTAATTTTTTTTGTAGAGAATAAAAAGGAACATCTAGCGGCTTGTAATCAATATCCTTTCCTCTGGGCTTAGGAAGCTGCTGCTTCCAAGCGCATGTCACAAGCTTTGTTTTGAATTTAGCAGACACCTTTACCCTTCACCAGAAAAACAGTATCAACAAATCAGAGACTACTGACATAAACATACAAATAGAGAATGCGAGTCCGGTTGTCAGCCCAGGGGCCTTAAGAATAGAATTCTAACTTTCCCCTGTGGCTAACAATGTTATAAAGAATCTGGGCGGGGTACAAGTGAGTCCCCCCTCTCTACCCTCCCTCCAATGAAATAAACAAATGTCCAAGTTTTAAATGTGACACAGTGTGAGGAAGCGGCAGAAAAGCTCCCAAAACACACACCGAGTAAACCTGCCTCATTTATTGTGTAGACGCACATAAATTTTGGAAATGCAGGATTCACCGTCCTACCGTGAAGTTTTCCGGGCACTTGAAGTTGAGTTATGTGGCAGCTAAGCGCTGTCACTGTTTGTTTAAAACTGCTGCCTAAAGTTATTTCTAAAAGTTAGGTGCAGCGTGGCATAGAAATCCATGTATTGTAAAGTGAAAACAACAATGTAAAAAACTGGGTTAGCATGAAATAGAGCCAACAGAAATCAGAATTAGCAACAGCCTTCCTCTACCGGCCACTCACCTTGTTGAATTTTAGTCACTAGCTGATGGCGTGCTAGAATCCGGCTCATCCTGTAAGGAGAGCGCCTCGCAGTCTGATCAAATCGCAAGTACATCTCCTGGCCCTCAGGTGTCATGGAATTTAGATAGTAGCAGCCTGAAGCTGGGGTCCTGGGTCCCTGACTGAACATCTCGGCAGATTTCCCTTTTGCCACCTCAGTCTGCCCTGTGGCTGTTCCCGGCTGTCTCCAGTCTCAGTAAGGGAGCGAGGCACCAAGCCCAGCGGAGCTCCACACACCAGGCGATTTTTAAAAAGAAGAAGGAGTGCCAAAAGCCACAACTCAGAATTCCAACCCCCGGCCTTCACGTGACCTCGAGCAGCCAATCAGAAGAAGAAAGGAGAACGGGACCGTAAGCAGTCAGCCCCCAGCCCCCTAGACGGGCAGTTCCAGCAGCTCTGATCCCCCCTACGGTGCTGAAGGCAAATGCCAGCGTTTGCGGTGCCTCAGAGCTGACTAAGCGCCAGGAAGCAGCGCTCACTAAACGAGTTAAAAAGAGAAAGGTAGAAGAAAAGGCAGTAGAAGAAAACTGATCCCTGGGCATAGATTTCCTTGGAGGCTGTAAAAGTTACAAAAAGCACGTTTGCTTTCTCCAAAGGCAGCTGCAGACAGGTAACAAATGGGTGTGATAAACGTCTCCAATGAAAAACTACTCCAAATAAGCATCAACAGCTGAGTATGCTAGCACCCTTCCTTACAAAGAATGAATCAAATAAAGCTCTTCCAGTGAAAAATAAACTTTCAAGTGCTTTAACACCCAGAGTAAATACACTACAGACTCCTGACCTTCTGCAGTGGGAGGCTGAGAGCTCTTACAGATGACTGGGAGAGGCAAAGGGCATACACATATTTGTTAAGTATCTATTTCCCTTTAATTTTTCGACACCCCCAATAGTTAATCGCCAAGAAGCAAAATAGTCATGAAGAACCGATCACATTTAAGACACTGCCACGCATCACTGGAAAGATTCAGATTTATGCTGCCAAGCTGCTAGGGACCAGAAGAGAAGTTATGCAAAAGCTTAAGGCTTTCACAAACCTTATGTAAGAGGTGTCTCAAAAAAGACACAAAGACAATGTTGGGGGAGCGATATTATTTTCGACTGGGGTGATCGTAGTGGGGTGCACAGAGAAGACATTTGGGTGGGCTTTAAAAAAATGAGTGTGATTCTGACAAACAGAGCCTGAGGAGGTCTTTGCACTAGGGTCTATGCCCACACGTGTGGAGATCAGGAATCAGAGTATGTGTTTAAGGAAACTGTGAATAATTCCATTTGGCCATTTCCAAGTATACATATGGGAGTAATTAGAATTTTCCCCCATATTTTTCCGCTTTAATATTATTTGATGTGAAGAGAAAAAGTCCATAGAAAACATTGTTGAATTCTGAGCCTGGGGCTAAATGAATAAAGTTCTTTGAAAAAGAAGCATATGGCCAAGTTGTTCTTACATTTGGCTGGCTGAAACTGAAACAGCCTGGCCTGTGATTTATAGTCTTAATGATGAAAAAACTCTCAAAAGTTTAACAGGACTTAACTTAGGACCCCAATTCTTGTTACTGTGGCTAACGGTGGTCAGCCCTAATGCTCTTCCCTGTGGGAATTTTTGCTGGCCTGATTCTGACCAGTGGCAGCTCACCTCGCATGACTATCCTACTACGTAAATGAACAGAGCCTACGGTAGAATATACACTCTCTCATGGCAATTGTGAGCCTCTTCCGATAGCTATGCAAGAGTAGCCAAGCATTAGGGTTTCAATCGCATCACAGTAGAAGAGGAAAGATCTCAATGGATTATTTTGTTCCCTTTCCATTCTTATTTAGGGTTTGATCAGAGTTTTGCTATTTCAGGGCATCTTTTGTGGAAGATGAAAGGGATCTAAGGTCTAGTGGCCCTGGTATGCCAAAAGCATGGGCAGTAATGGTAGACAGGTTTAGCATTACACTTCAGTGTTAGATCCCGTAATTTAACCGAATTAAATTCAAATCACATCAGAATCCAAGCTTAGGTCCAGCTCTGGATGCCCTCTGATGGAGAGGTCAATGCCAGCTACTTTGTGCACGTGCTTTTGTTTTGATAGGCCACCATTAGGGACATCAGTGCCATTAAACATGTGTTCAAGCCAGACAACTAGCAGTTATCACTTTTTCACTGGGAGAGAATGGAAGGAGAATGGAGAGGGAAAGACCATGAACTTAGCAACTTGGGATAGGTTCCAAAAGCTAAGCAAGGGGAAGGTAAAGGCTGGAAATAAAATCTACTTGTTTTATAGCTGTGAATAACACTTAAAGATTGGCCATTCCCAATGCCAGGCTGGTAGTTCATTATTGACTTGGCTACATTTTAAAAATAAATGGAATGAGCCTCTCTGAGAAGCACTGCAGTGTATCATGGCCAGTTTAGTATTAAAAAAAAAAAAAAAAATCACAGTGCCTCCATTCTACACTGAAAGTCCCAAGGTGTTTTGTTCTGAAAACATCAAGATCATAAACATGTATTCTTTGATATATATGTAAACAGATGCAACAACATGAAACATAGTATTTCATAAGAGATTGGCAATGAAGGACAAGAATTAAATGTAAATTAAGGAAAAAAAGGAATTTTGATTCCCTGATTAAAACAAAGACAACTTAGAAGAAAGCCTAATTTTTCTAAAAATCAGTTTAAGTTTTAATAAGGGGATCTATGAAGGATTACATATCAGCATTTCTGTCTTCTCTATCATGACAAGTTTGATTTTATGGTTCAAGTAGTAGCTATAAATCTATGTGACTGCTCACCATGTTTTTGTCATTTCAAATGTCCAAAATACCATATTTAAAGCAGCTAAGTAACACGTTTCTTATTAGCACCGTTAATGCCTTGTTTTATGCTAATGTATTGCTATGAAATCCACACCCTTTTAATGAATATTTTTATTATTTAGTCCTAGTGATCAAATAATTACCACTGGGTGGGCAGCTCTTTCTGTTTGTTGTAAATGTAAAAGTGAGAAATTGCTAATAATCTTCCTTGGGCTGATACTGTCTCCATTCAACTAGTTGAGAGAATTCTTTGTCTTTACTGGTGAGTGAGAGAGGTCCAAAGAAATCAGAGAGAAGGAGAAAGTGCTGAACACCCAAGTGTATCTTTCAAGACTAATGCTGAATTCCTTCCTTTCTAATTCCTTTTAAAAATGGAGAAAATGGGTGCGTGGGTGGCTCAGTTGGTTGAGCGTCCAACTCTTGATTTCGGCTCAGGTCACGATCTCAAGGTTCATGATTTTGAGCCCCACGTCAAGCTCTGTGCTGTCAGCATGGAATCTGCTTGGGATTCTCTCTCTCTCCCTCTCTCTCTGCCCTTCCCCTTCTCTCTCTCTCTCTCAAAATAAATAAAATAAACTTTAAAAATAAATAAATAAAAATTAAAAAATAAAAATGAGGAAAATGGATGGTGCTAGTTTTTAGTTTTCACCTCTTTTCCTCTTTCCTAATTTGGTCAAGAGCAATCTTCACTTAGACTATTTCGGGGTTGGAATAAACAGATGAATACTGAGAGACCCAAAGAGAGCAATGAACAGGGGAAGGGGGAAATGGGAGGAGCTAACAGTGTTGAGCTCCTTGTATGTACCAGGCATGTCTTTAATTAATGTCTGTGGTCTTCTATTTTGTAGAACAGGAACCTAAGACTCCTAAGGATGAAGAGATGTCCCAGGTCATACAGCAACCAAGTGTAGAGCCACTGTCTATCTCCAAGCTGATGATATTTTAACTCTTTCCACTATCACACACAAGGGACAGGGAAAGGAAAATTGTGGCACTGAGAGGGTGCTGGGGACACTGGATAGAGGAAAAAATTTTAGAGGGATATACTGAAAATCATCTTAATCCTGTATAATTTCATGTGATACCGGAACGCTTAAATGAAAATACAGTTGACCCTTAGATACCGCATATTTATTTGCGCAGGTCTACGCCCATGCGGATGTTTTTGAATAAATATATTGGGAAAAATTTGGAGACTTGCAACAACTTAAAAAACTTGCAGAAAAACAACAAAGCCTAGATATACTGAAAAAATTTTTAAAGAATTTTGAGATTATTGTGAGAATACAGTACATATATAATACATATACTAAATATGTGTTAATTGACTCTGTAGTACCAATAAAGCTTCAGGTCAAGTTGGTATTAGTGGTTAAGTTTTCAGGGAGTCAAGTTATATGCAGACTGCATAGGGGTTGGTGCCCTAACCCCCTTGTTGTTCAAAGGTCAACTGCATAGGATTGGCTAAATTGGATTGGCTAAATTGTTGTAGTGGTTGAGATCTAGGTATCTAGAGAGCAAACTACACAGCCCAGAGCTTTTAATTAACCAGTGAGAACCATGGGCCCTCTTTGGAGCAACCCAAAGCTAAGAACTGGAGACCCATCCACTCCCACCCTAATCTTAAAGTGCAGAAGCAGCTTGACTGTCTTTTTGTTTAAAAAGCACATTCCTTTTGCAGGGTAGGCTCTTTGCCCTCTGCTTTCTGTTCATCCTCAAGGCTAACTCTGCGTATGGTCTTACCTTTTCTAGGGAATTTCTTCCCAATGCAAATGCTCCAAATACAGTCAAAATTCTGAAACTTGACCTCTAAACAAAACTTTTGTTTATTTTTGAGACAGAGAGAGACAGAGAATGAACAGAGAGAGAGGGAGACACAGAATCAGAAGCAGGCTCCAGGCTCTGAGCCATCAGCCCAGAGCCCGACGTGGGGCTCGAACTCATGGACCATGAGATCGTGACCTGAGCTGAAGTCGGACGCTCAACCGACTGAGCCACCCAGGCGCCCCTAAACAAAACTTTTGGTACCAAGTCTTTCGGTAGATGATCCTAGAGTAGTGCTCAGTGGAATCTTAGGTACACATAGAAGAAAGCTAGGTGTGATTTTACAGAAGCCAGGAATGACTCCCGTGCTTTCATCTGTCTACTACTCCTTTTCCTCCTTCACATGCATTCCAGCTTCCTCATCAGCCTGTTCAGAGGGAGCCAAGGTAGTCCTGCCAAGCAGGAAAATGTTTGAGATATAAGTGGTAGGCGGAAAAAAGCAGAACCGATTTGCAAAGCTGCTTTTGAGATTACTGGAATCCAAACGTTGTGGGTTAATGG